TCAATTTATTCTCTCACTCCCAATTGGTTCCTGGCAGCTCATGGACAACGTGGTTTCCATGGTTTTCCACCTCTACAAGAACGACTGTGCTAAGCCACGGCCTAATTTGGTTTTCCAAAAAATCGTCAAATTGATGCTTTTGGAGTTCCTCTCCACGACCTCGAGCACGGATTCTAACCAAGCATCTTGATATTTGCAAATTTTCATATCTTCCTCAGCCCCTGCTACTTTGGTAATGCTTTATATGTTCTTTTATAAACCCTATAGAGTTGTAGCAGATGATGCCATTAGACAGTTTATTAGTTCGATTAAGAATGCTTTGCCTAAGAATACACATTATCTTTGTGCGCTTATAGTTTTAGAATTCTGTAAGTTGCTAAATAGGGCGACGAGGAGTGATGATCCATTATATATATATATATACACACCCAGGTGTCCACCTTATAGCGACTAATCCTGGGGTCTACGATCCAACCCCTCTTCACGCAGACCAGGTAAACCGCGGATTGTGCCCCAAACTGGCCAGGGTCCAAGAGCCCCCCCAACTGAACTGCCAAAGTGTCGAACGAGTCAAACCCATGTATGCTTCTTGCCTTACAAGGAACTCCTTCCTTCCAGGAGAAAGACTTGCCTTCTAAGAGCCCCATGAATCGAACCCGCGACCTCTGAACTGCCTGCCTTGAAAAACTCCGTCCTTTGCCAGTTGGGATGTGCCCCGGGGAGCTTTTGTGCCGGAGTAGTATGGGAACAATGGTTGAGCGTGAGATTGGAGAACACATGGAGATGATAGGGATTTGTGATATTTGAAAATACAAAGTTACTTATTTGCCCCTTGTAAAATTGGTTAGAATCTCATCAAAATTAAAAAAATTTGTCAACTAACGGCGATTTGGATGGAATCCATCCATTTGAACTTCAGCTACAATATTTTGATAAGTTTGAGATGAAGGTTGCAACAAATACAAATTTGCAACTCTTTGAAAATTTTGGGAGTGCAACTGCAATTATCCTTTATCATGTGCATTTGTAATAAATTTTAAATTTTTAATCACATAACCAATAATAATAATGAATGAATTATAATAAAAGTCCAAGGAGATTTTAAAATGTAATAAAAAAGATCACTTTCGAAAATTCCTAGTTCGTTATAGACAAATCGAGGAAAAAAGATTCATATTACACTTCATAATGCATTAGATCGTTTGTGGGAATAATATACGAATTTCAAGAATCAATTACAAAACTAGTTCGACTTCATAATATCATGAAATCGAAATTTGAAATGTATTGCATTATTTTTTAAATAGCGTGATGGTTGAGTGTGAGATTGGAGAACACATTTGGTGACAATGGTTGAGTGTGAGATTGGAGAACACGAGGAGATGATAGGGATTCGTGATATTTTCCGGTTTGTTGGGGAATTAGTAGTTAAAGTTTTTTGCACAATCTATTGTTAAGCATATACACAAGATCATCTCAAGGGCCTTCCTTGAATGATGTATGATGATACCAATATTGTATACCTGAGGACCATTTCCTCGAGGACTCCATACGTGCTCCGCCCACTTTTCTGCCAAATGTCCTCAAGATCTTTCTAGTCCTCGAGGTATACCCCGAGGACCATTTGTCCTCGAGGACTACTCATACGAATATAAAAATCACCCCCTATGGTCCTCGAGAATATGTCCTCGAGACATATTCCATTAACAGATCTTCGAGACGTATGTGCCTAACAAACGAATACCTAAACACCCAAGAACTCTATATCAACTCTTACACCACTAGTCAAACAATTCCATTACGAGTAGGACATTCCTCACAAACGGGACTCCATTGGATAAATACATCCAACTAGCACAATCCTACTAGGAGTACACTACCTACCTCTATAAATACTGAACCTTGAGCCATTATTCAAGTATGTTCTCATTATTCTTCAGTTTATAACCTCACGCATATAATTCCCTTTTTGACTTAAGTATTAGAGGGGCAACGAGAACATACCTCGTTACCATTGTTTCAGGTACTGGAAGACTACGATCGTGCTCAGTCAAAATCATCAAGCTCGGGAAATCAATAGATATAATTTTTGTTAGCATCATTGGCGCTGTCTGTGGGAAATGCTATCAAAAGTCATGGTTAACCGTGTCTTCCTCCCGCAAGCTCATCCGCTCCCATCCCTCAACCTGCCGAAGATCAACCGGCTCCTCATGAAGAATCGTTAGGAGTGCCCAGCGGTCATCACAACCGAAGCCTTTGAAGAGCTCCGTCAGCAGTTGGCCATGCTCACGAAACTGTTAAGTCAAAGAAATTCATATTCGTCGCCAACGCAGGCAGAGCATGGCGATTTATGGCTGATGCTCAAGCACGACCACCAAACCCCGTAATTGGTGGAGTAGGAACCTCGGGTATTTTACAATATGGCCTCGGACTCAAGATCGGTCGCCATGGATTCCGGTGAAATTGCTGGAATCATTCAAGAAGGAATTACAGCTGGCCTGCAACGGAATGCTCGGGGGCCAACGAGTTTCACTCCTAACACTCCATTCACACCCGAGATATTGTCATATCCCTTGCCCGAAAAATTCAAATATCCTCGCATTAAAGAGTACGATGGGACGATCGACCCCATCTCAATGTATATATTGATGTCATGAACTTGCAAGTTGCGTCAGATCAGGTTATGTGCAAAGCTTTTCCAAAAACGCTGACTAATGCTACTAGGGATTGGTTCTCGACATTGGAGCCCAACTCCATAGTCTCATTCTCAGATTTGACTGATAAGTTCTCAGCTTTCTTTGCGAGTAGTAAGCGAATCAGGAAGATTGTGGCCTCCCTCATGCAACTGCGCCAAGGACCGAATGAAACCCTACGAGGTTTTATGACAAGATTTAACAAGGAAAGACTTTAGATACCCGACCTTCACATTACTGCAGCAGTTTTCGCCCTCACCTACGCCATAAGGTGTGAGGCCTTCAAAATGTTTTTATCAAAGACCCCACCACAGAAAGTGACCGAGCTCTTTAATTGAGCTGAAAAGTACATTAATATGAAGGAAACGTTGAATCCAAGGAGAGCTGGTCATTCTCATGAAAAGGTCGAAAATAAAAGGCAACATGATCCCATCCCCCGGCATGAGCTTTCTCGGGATAAGCTCAGGAATGAGGCACTGTCAACACCTCTCAATCGGTTGAACACCTCTAAGATAAACATCTTGATGGAGATTAAGGATATGAAAGAATTAAAGTGGCCTTTAAGGATAAAGTTGCCCCCTGACATAAGAGATAGGAGCAAGTATTGCAAATTTCACCGGGATTATGGGCATACCACAGAGGATTGTCATGCTTTACAGCGAGAAATTGAAGTCCTTATCAAAAGATGATTTTTAAAGAATTACAGTGGTCATAATAAATGCCCGAGGAATGACCGTGACAATCGAAAAGAGCCTGGAGCCGGAAGTAGTGCTCAACCTACTGCCGGGACCATTAGTATTATCGTTGGGAGCATAGCATCTGGAGGAGACACAAATAGTGGGCAAAAGCAATATGCCCGCCAACATACTCATACCCCAAGGGAATCCCGTAATGAAGTCAAAGACATCACTTTTAGAGCAAGAGATTTGGAAGGAATATCATATCCTCATGACGATGCCTTGGTTGTCTCTGCGATTGTGGCTAACTTCGAAGTAAAGAGGATTCTGGTTGATAATGGGAGTGCAGCAAATATACTCTCGCAAGAGGCTTTCGCCAAAGTAGGGATCTCTCCCAAACAGCTCAAAGCAGTAAAAACTCCTCTATAGGGATTTGGTGGTGGAGTCATTATCCCTGAGGGCATCGTCGAGCTCCCGCTTACATTAGGATCTGGTAATACACAAGTGACAGAGATCACACCATTCCAAGTAGTTTATACCCCAATGGCCTACAACATCATTCTGGGAAGACCCCTACTGAACAAGATCCAAGCTATTGTATCAACTTTCCACCTGGCCATGAAGTTCCCCATAGGTCATGGCATCGAAATAGTTCGAGGAGACCAAACAGTTGCCAGACAGTGCTATGCTACTAGCATCCAAGGAATTGGTACAGACGTCATGCAACTTTTAGACCTTGAGCTCGAGCTCAAGCCAAGGGGTAGATTGGCCCCCATTGAGAAATTTGAAATGATCGAGCTCGAGCATAGAAAAGCTGTAACTGTTGGCCGGGATCTCAAGGCCAACTTCAGGGAGGAAGTCATCAATTGTCTGTTCCGCAACATTGATGTTTTTGCATGGAAAGTGGAGGATATGCCAGGAATAGACCCAGAAGTAGCTGTCCATAGGCTCAATATCAGCCCAGGGGACAAAAGCAAAGGATGAGGCAGTTTGCATCGAAAAGACGTATGGTCATTCAGCAAGAGGTCGACAATTGGTGAGAGGGGGGTTCATAAGGGAAGTCTAATACCCCGATTGGCTCGCTAATGTTGTTCTTGTAAATAAGGCCAGTGGTAAATGGAGGGTCTGCATCGACTTCACAGATCTCAATAAGGCGTGCCCAAAAGACAGCTATCCGCTACCTAGGATTGACAATCTTATGGATAGCACATCCGGACATAAGCTGTACAGTTTTTGAGATGCATTCTCAGGGTATCATCAAATCTTCATGGCCAAAGAAGACCAAGAGAAGACCTCATTCATGGCTGATTCAGCCATATATTGCTATAGGGTCATGCCGTTTGGGTTGAAGAATGCTGGGGCAACATATCAGAGACTGATTACTAAAATCTTTGCTAATTTGATATGAAAGAATATTGAGGCCTACATTGACGACATGGTGGTAAAGAGCACAAAGGTAGAAAGACCTATTTCTGATCTCGAGGAAGTGTTCTCCACGCTACGAAAGTATAAGATGAAGCTCAACCCAAAGAAGTGTGTATTCGACGTAGCTTTGGGAAGGTTTCTGGGTTTTATGATCACTCATTGGGGGATTGAGTCCAACCCCGATAAGATTTAGGCTTTGGCAACAATGGAATCACCAAGGACCAAGAAAGAAGTTCAAAAGTTGACAGGCAGGGTAGCCGCCTTAAGCAGGTTCATGTTTCGAGCAGCAGACAGGTGCTTCCCCTTCTTCAAAGCCCTGAGGGGTAATCATTGCTTTGAATAGGATGAGGAGTGCGAGAAAACTTTTCAAGAGCTCAAGCAAACGTTTGAATCTCCTCCTATCCTCACCAAACCCTAGCCCACGGATACTTTGTATTTGTACTTAGCCATGTCTCAGAATGCAGTGAGTGGTGTTTTGGTGAAAGAGGTTAACAGGGCCCAGCAACTCATTTATTACGTAAGCAAAGTCCTACTTGATGCAGAAACAAGATACACTTTGGCAGAATATCTTGCCCTTGCACTGATAGTGGCAGCACGAAAGTTTCAACAATATTTTCAGTCACATCCTATTGTAGTGCTCACCAATAGCCTCTAAAACATGTTCTTCAGAAACCAGACGTCTCAGAAAGATTACTCAAGTGGGCAATTGAACTCGAAGAATTTGACATAGAGTTCAAGCCCCATCTATCTATGAAAGCTCAGGCCTTAGCTGATTTCATTGCAAAACTCACCCCAAGGCCTCGGGGGCCAGACGGTAGCTCTAGCTCTTTTACAGGCATGTGGCAAATTTTTGTAGATAGAGCATCAAACTCTTCGGGCTCTGGTGCAGGGATCATAATCATAAGCCCAAACATGCTCAAAGACATTCAGTGTGTACTCAGGTTCGAATTTGAGGCAACCCTGCCTGTAACTTGCCATCAATCTCCAGCTTGAAAACATCAAAATTTACAGTGATTCCCAGTTGGTGGTCGAACAAATTGAAGGGACGTTCGATAGGAAGGACGAGAAGTTGAGCTTATATTGCTTGAAAGTGCATGATCTCTAGAGAAAGTTCAAGAGTTGTGAAATTGTGAAAATTACTCGGGCTGAGAATTGTAAAGTCGATGCCTTGTCAAGATTGGTGTTCATGGGGATAGATAGGCTGGACAGGACAGTCCATGTTAGAATTGTAACCGAGCCAAGCATCAATCAGATCGTAGGCATCATGGATATTGATAATGAGTTATCATGGATGGATCCAATAGTGGACTTCATAAAACATGGCAATCTTCCAGAAGATCCTCGAGCAGCAAGAAGCATCCGGTCCAAAGCTCCAAGGTATTGCATGATTGAAGGAGATTTATTTCGCAGGAGTCTCACACTTCCATACCTCAGATACCTTAAGCCTTCTGAATCATCCTAGGCCCTAGAAGAAGTTTATGAAGGAATATGTGGGAACCATCAAGGAGCTCGGACATTAGCCTTCAAGCTCATAAGGTATGGATATTATTGGCCTACCATGAAGAAAGCGCCCAGGAATATGTCAAGAAGTGTGACAAGTGCCAGAGATTCGACAATATCATCCAATCTCCCACTGAGGACCTCACTAGCATTAGTTGCACGACCCCGTTTGAGCAGTGAGGAATTGAAGTTTGTGGCTGTGGTTGTAGAGTATTTCACTAATTGGGTGGAGGCCGAGCCTTTAGCAACGATTTCAGAGCCTAAGTTGAGAACTTTCATTTGGAGGTCCATCATATGCAGGTTTGGGATACCGAAAGTCCTCATAACTGATAATGGCAGGCAGTTTGATAATGCACAATTTAAAAACTTCTGTTCCAACCTAAGGGTTGATCACCGTTTGACATCGGTTTCCCATCCTCAAAGTAATGGTCTTGCCGAAGTGACCAATCGGATTATATTGCAAGACTTCCGTACAAGGATTGGAGATGTAAGAGTTTCCTAGTCTAATAAGTTACCTTCCATACTTTGGACATATAGAACGTCCCACAGAATCGCTACGAGGGAAACCCCCTTCATGTTGGCTTTCGGTATTGAGGCCACCATCCTTGTTGAAGTTAGGTTGCCCATCCAAAGAAGACTTGAACCCGAAGATGTAGGACGTACCACTGAACATCTCGACCTCTTGGAAGAAGTTCGTGATCAAGCAACTTTAAGAATGGCCTCTTACCAAGATAAAAACAGCAAAGTATTTCAATAAAAAAGTGAGGACGCTGAGATTCAGAGCCGGTGACCTTGTGTTAAGAAGGGTCGAAGCAGCAGGTCATGCCCCAGGCAAGCTAGGACCAGTTTGGGAAGGGTCCTATGAAGTTATACAACAGCTTCAAGGAGGTGCATACAATTTAAGGGATACATCAGTAAGACCACTTCCAAGACCATGGAATGCCGAGAATTTAAAAATATATTACAAGTAACTTGCTCTTCCAGTTTTCAGTTGTTAGGCCTGCGTGTCAAGGTTCACATTTTCAGTTCTCAGGCCCGCGTGTCAAGGTTCACGTTTTCAGTTCTCAGGCCTGCGTGCCAAGTCTTATTGTTCGGTAGTCAGGCCTGCGTGCCAAGTCTATTTTTAAAGTACAATAAGAATTAAGCTATTCATCAAAATGTGATCTCGCTATTAAAAGCCTTGCTCCGCGCAAGCAACTCAAAAGCCTTACCTCATGCAAACACTTAAAAAGCCTTGCCTCGAGCAAGCACTTAAAAAGCCTTGCCATGAGCAAGCACTCAAAGCCTTGTCCCGCGCAAGCACCTAAAAAACCTTACCCCGAGCAAGCACTCAAAGCCTTGCCCCACACAAACACTTAAAAAGTCGTGCCCCAAGCAAGCACCTAAAAAGGCTTATCCTGAGCAAGCACTCAAAGCCTTGACTCGAGCATGCAACACAAAACCTTGCCCTACAAAACCACTCATGCTCGACCATACAACATACTCGAGCACAAATCGTGATAGTAATGCTCATAAAAGTCCTCCATCTTTCTAGGCAATTTTAGCTTGAGGATTACTGTAGGAGTTAAAGATTTCTGCCTCAAAACTTGATGCTTGAGGCAGAACTACAGTCCTCGAGTATATCCCCGAGGATGTGCCATGAGTAATTACTTCTTTTTACATTTAGTGTGCTTGTGATGCGTGAAGTCCTCGAGTATATCATAAATCCCCCGAGGACGTGCCATGAGTAATTACTTCTTTTTATATTAAGTGTGCTCGAGATGCGTGAAGTCCTTGAGTATATTATAAATCCCCCGAGGACGTGCCATGAGTAATTACTTCTTTTTACATTTAGTGTGCTTGTGATGCGTGAAGTCCTCGAGTATATCATAAATCCCCCGAGGACGTGCCATGAGTAATTACTTCTTTTTATATTAAGTGTGCTCGAGATGCGTGAAGTCCTTGAGTATATTATAAATCCCCCGAGGACGTGCCATGAGTAATTACTTCTTTTTACATTAGTGTGCTTGAGATGCGTGAAGATCTCGAGTATATCATAAAATCCCCCGAGGACATGCCATGAGTAATTACTTTTTTACATTTAGTGTGCTCGAGATGCGTGAAGTCCTCGAGTATATCATAAATCCCCCGAGGACGTGCCATGAGTAATTACTTCTTTTTACATTAGTGTGCTTGAGATGCGTGAAGATCTCGAGTATATCATAAAATCCCCCGAGGACATGCCATGAGTAATTACTTTTTTACATTTAGTGTGCTCGAGATGTGTGAAGTCCTCGAGTATATCATAAATCCCTGGGATCGAGATGATTAATTACCTCACATGCGCGATTATCTTTTTACTGTTAGTGCATGAGATCGAGATGACTAATTGACAGTTCATATCTAAAGACATTGTTCATTCAATAATAACAAAACATTATGCAGTTGTCGAACATAATACTTGTTTCAAAAACTACAAAACAAGAGATTGGGGTGGGGACACTATCCAATATGACCAAGGAGAGGGTTGAGGTTGTGGATGTCAATCTGCACTTCATCCTCAAGGCCTTCCTCGTCGTCATCCCCACCTGATTCTCCACCTTTCGAACCCAAGAGCTCCAGGGTATCAGTGATAGAAGGCATGGTCTTCAGATCATCTGGGGTGACGTCTGGTAATTTCAGACGGAGGAAGGCTCGGGCCTCCTTCAGAGCATGGAAGTACGCTCCCGACGCATACTCATCCTTAATCATGTCACAGTTCTTGGAGGTTTTAAACTCTTCCCAGGGCTTCTCCTTAACGTCCGCAAGCTCGCGCTCAAAATCCTTCGTCTTTTGGATAAGTTCGAGCCTCGCACCCTCGACCTCATCCTTCGCAACACTCAGGTCATCCTAGGCCTTAGTAGCCTCCCTCTTTGCGTCATCACGCTCTTTCAACAAAGCCTCGACTTCTGCCTCGAGGTCAATAATCCTCCTGTCCTTAGAAGCCATTGAGGTCTCCACCCCAACCGCTCTCTTGGCTTCCTTGATTCTTTGAAGAGAAAGTCCTTGAGCTACACTCAACGTCTAAAAAAGAAAATTTTAGGGTATTAATCTCGAAGAAGAAACTAAAAGCTGAAGTCAAATGTTCGAGGATTATCTTTATAGTAAGGAGCTTAAGGACCTTCATTCCATTCTCGAGCTTCACCTCCTCCTTGTATTCGTTAACAAGACTGGGAACAAGGTAGCAATGTTCGAAGTCCTCGGTCAGGGAATTCACCAAAGGAACAGTGTCCTCTTCGAGATCGACCACCTCACAAGGAGGTCGAGGAGTAACGACTCGAGGAGTAGGAGATCTCTGGCTCGATTGCAACGGGCTCAAGGCTTGAGGTTGTGCTGGAGATGTTTTACTAGGCCCCCTCACACTTTGCTCAATAGGAGTTTCTCGAGGCCTTTTCTTGCTCTTCTTCTTCGCCAGAGTTGACCCTGTGGACGGACATCAGCCCTTGTGCTGACAAAATTACGGAGGGCTCGAGACGAGCACAAGGTCAAGCTATTTTGTAAAAAATAAGGAAACATCGCTACCCTCGATGCCTCTAATATCTGCCAGGTCTATAACCTCTTCTCCAATCTCTTTCATCGTCGAGAAAAGGGGGTTGAGCCCCACCAGCATCCTCCTATGCTCTTCCAACACATCTGGATACACCTGGTCCTCACAGATCTTCTCGGCATCGGGGATCCCCCAATCGGGCCAGAAAGGAAGGTCGGGTTCTTGTGCTGTTACATAAAATCACCCCTCCCTCCACCCTTTTAGAGAACTCACTATCCTCGGGACCTTAAAACCTCTTATCGTCGAGAGATAACCAGAACAAATATACCGAGGATGCTTCTTAAGCTCAAACACCAATTTACAAAGGTCAATGTTAGGCTCGATACCTAAGTACCTACAAGCTATAAAAAAAATACATGAGCATTCTCCAGGCATTGGGCACTAACTGCCCCGGGCACATGGAGTGCTTGACCAAAAAAGCAATGAAAAAGGGGTGAAGGGGCTACCTAAAGCCAGCATTAAGGGTCTTCCCAAAAATAACAAACTTTCGTCATCGACCTCGAACAATCCTATCCTCGGGGCCAGGGAATCTAACATCACAAATAGGCATAATGACATATTCCCTAGCCGCAGCAATACATGAGTGCTCTTTTAGCCTACAGGGTTCATCGGGATACTCAAAGATCATATTAACCTGATCCTCGAGTGTAGCATCTAGGGGAATAGTCGTCGGCATTATCGACGTTCCTACGTCCTTGCTACTACTCGAACTACTGTATAAATCATGACCCTCACTACTCGACATTACTCAATCAACTTAAGACCTAGCTTATGGAATAACTTAGAGTCTCGAGCCTTACCTGGAGTTTCTCGATGACTGGAGAAGTTCCCAAAGTATTTTTCTCGAGCACGACCTTGTAGAATTTAGATTTACAGTGGGTAAAAGTGAAAAATGATGGTGAGAACAGCAGTATTTATAGGTGAAGATGACAGGAGGCCAAAGGTCGCCATCTACGGCGTCCATGAAGACACATGTCACAAATCCAAGCCCTATCTCTGCAACGGTATACCGACCTTTATCGTTATCCAGTATTTCTCAACGACGCTACCTAAAGTGAGATGTTCGTAACTCAAGTGCACCACATCCCAGAGCTCGGTCTCTAGAAGGAGTGCACAAGGGCCAATGATGATACCAATATTGTATACCCGAGGACTATTTCCTTGAGGACTCCATACGTGCTCCGTCCACTTTTCTGCCAAATGTTCTTGAGATCTTTCCAGTCCTCGAGGTATACCCGAGGACCATTTGTCCTCAAGGAGTGCTCATACGAATATAAAAATCACCCCATGGTTCTCGAGAATATGTCCTCGGGACATAATCTATTAACAGATCTTCGAGACGTATGTGCCTAACAAACGGACACCTAAACACCCAAGAACTCTATATCAACTCTTAGCCCACTAATCAAACAATTCTATTACGAGTAGGACATTCCTCACAAATAGGACTCCATCGGATAAATACACCCAACTGGCACAATCATACTAGGAGTACACTACCTATCTTTATAAATACAGAACCTTGCGCCATTATTCAGGTACGTTCTCATTATTCACCAGTTTATAACCTCACGGATATAATTCCATTTCTGATTTAAGCATCGGAGGGGTGACGAGAACATACCTCGTTGCCTTTGTTTCAGGTACCGGAAGACTTCGATCGTGCTTAGTCAAAATCATCAAGTTCAGGAAATCAACAGGTACGATTTTTGGTAGCATCAATGTACATGATTCCACTGCCTTTGTGGTTGCAGCGAGGAAGAAGATTGAGGACCCATGTTGTGGGTTATGTTTATGGGTTGAAGATTTATAGGGTGTTTGTAGTGTTTGGTGACTTGCGGGTGGATAGAGAGATGACAGTCGTAGTACTAGTGGTGGGTAGTTTTGGTTGGAGTGGGGGAGGGGTGGGCAGAGGTGGGCGTGCAGATTTTGGGATGGGTTTCAGAAGAAGACGGATTTTACTTTTTCTTTTATTTTTTATTTTTTGATTTTTGATTTAATTATTTTAATTGTTTTATGTTTGAAAATATAAACTTACTATTTTTCACTTGTAAAATTGGTTAGAATCTAGTCAAAGTTAAAACTTTTGGCCAACGAATGATGATTTGGATGGAATCCATCCATTCGGACTTCAGCTGCAATGTTTTCAAAGGTTTGAGGTGACGATTTTAACAAATGAAAGTTTACGAAAATGTCATAACTGTTTGAAAGATTTGGGGTTGCACAAATGCAATTATCCCTTATTATATTCATTTGTAATAAATTTTAATCACGTTATCAATAATAACTAAGAAATGGATTAATATAAAACTACTCAAGAAGCTTTTACAATATAATAAACAAGATCGATTTCAAGAATTCCTTGCTCGTCATACACAAATCAAGGATAAAAATGCTTACATTGTA